GATCTGTAGAGCTGACAATTTCAGAGTGATGTACTGTATTCACTGCTTTAGTCTGTTAGGCATTGGCTTCTCACTGTGATCGACATTATGCTACGTTTAACTGGTTATTTATACTGAAATTTAAAACTGTGAGATACTTTCGTTCATCCATTTCGCAGCTTTTAAAACATTCATCAGACCAGTAGGTCAGATACTGATGAAACCGGTAGCAATGGTATGAATATGACAATTACCAGTGAAGATTGAATTGTTTCCACTATATGTGATGGTGCAGATTAGCGTGTAAAAATGGGATCTCAAAGAAATCCAGCAAAGAATGAAACAATCACCTGTTGTCCGAAAAATGTGCACAAGAAAATGGAGATGGATTTAACATACACCTACGAGGCTGTTGAGTAACATCGCTATCTCGTCCCTCGAGTGAGATCCTGAATAGGAAATGACGAGTTGGATGTTTGAGAATGATGTGGAAGAAATCCTGTGAGGACGAGGTGAAGGCAGTTGTAGAGCTAGGTGAGAAACCATGCACGGATCTTTGTGAGGTGATGATATGCTACTTGAGCCCTACACCACACTCAGAACTCGAGTGAATGATGATAAGCAGTGATTGTTTGTCTAAAAAATCCAATGTTCCTTTCAGACGATGAATTGTTAAGTAATACGGATCAATTTATATGTAGAGTTTGTTATGAACTAACATCATTCAGGGAACAACTAGAGACCAGAAACCACTTGGCGGATATTTTGTCCTAGCTCGGAAGTCTTCAGATATGTATACTTCTGATTAATTCTCTTACTGACATTGGTTTGTGGAGAGACCTACACTGAGATCGATATGCATCTAGTTGTCATACTACTTGGGTGGGAAAAGTTGTTGACATGAAAGAAGGATTAAGTGGAGAATGCTAAGTAGACCAAATGAACTTCATTGTCTGCCGACGATGATTTATGCACGCTCAGCAAAATTCATCCACTATTTACATAAAAAAGCCCTCAATAGTCACCAAAAGTGATAAACTGCTGGTCACATTTTCGAAAATCACTCCCACAGATTCACATACTGTAATGTTTCTCACGAAGCTTTCACTAATATGATGCTTTTAGAAAACATGGCATTTCAATCATGATGCAACAGACTTTCAACAACACCTGCCCACTTCGATAATGAAGGATAAGCGGCCTGTCAGGAATTATTGTGCAACAAGGAAACATACTCGAAGCAGTTCATCAACCAACAAAATACTGGTGTGACAAATTATGCATGTGGGAATGAAGACAGACTAGATATACAATGGGGAAAGATTCAAGTGACATCACACACTAGTCGGACGTTGGGTTGTGTGTGACAATGAAATGGAGGAGATCGCATGACTTGAAGGTGAAAGCATGTAAGCGATCTTTGATGGGGCCGATTGAGATTGATCGGGTGGAGATGTGCCGTTGAAGTCCCACCTATCACTTGGATATCAACAAGTGAATAGCAAAGATTATAACAATTTGTGGTTTCTTCGCTTTATTATTTTGAATTCACAGTTTAACATTTCAAACGTTAATGATTACAAAATGAATTAAAAGAGCATCATTTCACAGGAATGGAATAGTTTCAGTGAAATTAATGCCAATAATAATAATAATTATCAATGAATATGTTTATTCTCAAGGTGAGAACCAATCGTCATTGGATGATCAGAAGAAATAATAATTTGGGTGAAAACTACAAATTATAGCTTCCAAATGATGCAGTTATCCTGTGAATAGAGAAATACACATATTCAGTTTAGAAGGACGATGAAACAAATGCAAATAGTAATGGCAACGTAGATTTAAAAATTGAAAATTGAAAGTCGCTATCTTAAAATGATTTACCAACTCGGTTTACCTTATTGTACAATGACCTCTGTTTCTTTATGAATATGACTGATGAAGCATATGTTCTCGGTAGATTCAATGTGCAATTACTTTCACTCTAACTGAATGAGTGAAGTTCAAGAGATGCGCGAATTTGTGGAATGAATTTTGTATATTATTTTATCTAACAGTTTGTAGTTTCATGAAACTCAAATATTAGAATGGACACTGTTTTAACTGTGATGATATTTATGTATTCAAGTGGAATGAAAGTTGTTAGACAAATGAGGAATAACTTGAATATGCTCATAATTTATTCAGAATGAGGATAATTGAGGTGAACTTTTGTTGTGTTCATTGGATAAGATTTCAAGTGAACGTAGAGAAGATGGGGGTGATAAAGATTAACAACCACGACCACCATGACCACCACTACCAGCAACAAACAAAACAGCATCAACCAGCACCAATCAGTATCAAGAGAATGAATTTAGAAGAGCTCATTTCCTCCCTTCACCTATCTTGGAAGCATCATCTCAACTACAGGCAGTCGGCACGAATGACGACGCCAACACCAGACAGAACTGGAAAGACAACACTGAACTTCACCACTGAGAAACCAGTTGGAAAATCTTCAATCATCATGTGTCAGAAAACTCGGATTTTCAACGTCAATCTTAAGTCGATCAGTCAGTCAGATAGTCAGTTCTATATTTGTTCAGAAACTTGGCCAGCGCGTCACAAAAAATCACTTTTAACATGCTACGGCCGACTTTAGTCTACAGCTTCACGCTTCGCTGGCTCCATGTTGAAGATAATTTAGGCAGCAAGTCGGAGAGAATTACCAACAAGAAATTGTCGGAACGGACCAATGAAGAATTTCCTGCTCAACAAATGTGCCAGAGAAAATGGAGATTGATTGGACACACACTGAGGAGACCAGTGATTGACATCACCTGCATGGCTGGCCACTAGTCGAGTGTGACCTGAATGGGAAGCAACGAGATGGACGTCCGATGGTGACAATCAGAATATGGTGTGAGTTGGATGACTTGTGAGATCCCGGTCAGTCATGCAGCCAGCTGAAGAGGACGGCAGAGAATACGATAGAGCTGAGATGTCCTGTTGAAGCCCTATCTTCCACTCGGAACCCAAAGGAACAATTACAACAGGAAAAAATTCTCTTTCAGGCTCTACAGTTATTGAACATCCAGTTTGACCAGAAACACTATGGTTACATGAATCTATTCACGTGAATTTCATGATGTCTTCTATCACTAGCTGCAGCTGTGGCAGTCAACACTAGAAGACTTAATAAATACATCCAGAATAGGTAAGTCCTACATCTTTCTTTACTATCAGCTCTGAATGAGGTCGACCAGTCTTCTACAAACATTGACAAGTAACACTTTAATTACGTATCACACCATTTTCCTCTTTCCGATTGTTTCCTTTGAAACCTATTATTTCATACCCTCGACAGCGCCGAAAACTAACGCTGCGTTTACGTGGTACCCTTCATATGTGTCAGTGAATTCACGTAATACGGTATCTCTACACACTTTTGAATTCGTCATTATCTAATAATCGGTCAGCAATCATACTCCTGTGTTTACATCATCCCATACTTATTTAATTTATCATTATTACCGATATTTACCATCAACTGAACTTACACCTGATTCACCTCATTTTATTTGTTCGTTCATTTTTCTACAGTATCCGCACTGCCTCTCGCAGTACCCCTTGAAACTGGTAGTTTGTTGAATACGATTATACAAATGCATCACTGATTTATTTGATTTCATTTGATCTCATGTTTTTACTTATTCACTATACATATATTATATGCCTTGGAAATGTCAATCCAAACTGAATGACTATTATTTTATTTTGTACTTGCAGTTTCTAACTTAATTCAACTTCAAGTTAACTGGCTTGTATATGTTTAAATCAGTGGATTTATATATGAATAGCGTGAAGAAAGAACTTATTGAAAGCACCAGTGTTGGCTGTAATTATTCTTGCTTGAAGTGAGAAACAGGCTGATATGACACTTCTCAACCAATCGCCTCAGTTTAATTCACTTCATGCGACTTACCTGCTGGTATCAATTTCTCCAGTTCACTTGATATCTGCATAAATAATTTCTTTTCAACTGAAAACATGCGTGAAAAATTATTATCTTGAACAACTGACTGTTTAGTATCAGTAACTTTGAAACTGATGATGAATCAGACATAAGATAGTGAGAGGAACATAATAAAACAGTTGTGGACAGAGAGGAGAATCTTATGGCTGATTCATCATCAGTTATAAGACACTGAGATAAACATTTTCAAACACATTTTAAACAGTTATGGGCAGGAAGGAGAATTACATGCTGTTATTTATTATTACTACCCTTAATGGGTTCCTCTTTAGTTGGTTTCACGATAGCATACAAGATCTGTTCTGCTCTGTGTCACACTAGAACACCCAACTCAACGTTTTCCGTTTGAAAATACTCTCGGGCGATGGCCTGGTGTGTGTTGTCCCTCACTCTTGTCTTTATTTAGAGACCTCACTCACCTCTCACTTTTCCATCACTTCACATGTGGAATCGTCATGTAGCTGTTGAATGAGATTTGTGAACGTTGAGATCACTTCATTATATTGTTGCAGTTTCCACATCACTCCACAGTTAACGCTATTTAAAGTCTATTAGAATTCAATGAATGTGAGATGAGATTCCACTGTTATACTATGCTCTGTTCGATGATGATGTGAAGCGTTCTGAGTTCATTCGCGTATACTCTGCAAAAGTCATTCTTCACTGCACATCAACAAACGTTGATGATCATAAGCTCATGGTTTCAGTACTCAGTTTCAGAGATAATTATCATGAGTTCGATCTCACACGTGTCAATGGGTACACAATTCTGATGAGTTTCAAACTCAGAAGGAACACGTTTCTATCTGCTCCTCATCCCATATCATTCAATGAATAAAATTACTTTGCAATAAATACATACTTCTTCTATTTCGAATAATAATATTTACGAATAATAGATTGTTAATATGATTTATTCAGGACTTGTAGTATAAAATATGGTATCTGAATAACACGTCAAATCATACACTAAAATGATGTGTTTGCCTGTAATACTTACATACGCTTTGGGTTTGTGCCTCGATTACATAGTACAATGTTCTGATTTGATTAGTTAGTTGATGAATTTCTGTGAAAATGTTAGTTGAAAAATTTATTCAAGTTAAATTGATTTGTTAAAAAGAAAACGGAACTCTCACATTGGCTGCAGACTTTTATCAACAGATACATTCGCTCTGTACTGAGTAATGGATGGTCGACCAGAAATTATGAGTAACAGAGAGCTCCGGGATGCAGCCAACTGAGAAATTATTACCTCACTAATATGCAGAAGAAAATAGAATGGAGTCAGTCAAAAAGGAAAGGCAGAAAACAGAGTGGAATTGAGATGTGCTACTGAAGTCCTATGCTCCACTCGAAATCCAAAAAATAATAATTTCACAAACTGTAGGATCCTCATCAGATGTCATTCCTCTACTCAGCCGAAAAACGAATTCTCTTGTGATAACACCTACGTTGAAATATATGATTTCGCTCAATGAAATCATCATAATACCATGAGGGGCAGAAACTTTTTTCAAAACACAGTCACACCTTACTGGTATAACTTCATTCCCTTGCGAAGAGAATCATCACAAGCCATGATGACATTACCTTACTGTAGAGTTGTGTTGCATATAATGATTGTCAATTTGAATATCCGAATATGTGAAAGGCAGAGTTACTGTGAGATCAGATAATACTCTTCTCAATTAATTCATGACAGCTCTGTGATATCTAACCGGTTCACAACAAACTGAGTTCATAAACACTATTATTACTACTATTATTTATTTAATTCCTTAACATTCAGAGTGGAACAAACAGCTGCAAGCTTGAGCATTCAGGTTGCAGTAGCGTTGGTGTAGGCTGGGATTGCTAGTCCCACGCACAACCTTCTTTCTTTACCGAGTAAATAATCAGCGTGTTTGGGAAGCGTTGCACCATTCAGCCAGCGACTCATCGTTATAACACAGCTCCGTGTTGGCAGTAAACCAAATACTTCAAACTCACATTGAGTATGTTTCACCTACTTATCTCCGGGAATCAAGTTACAATTAAGCATTATCATTGATCACTCCGGGTGAATCATAGGTCATCAGTGTGTCACGTGCTCACTCCACTCGGTTCTGTCGCACGAATGTCAGCTGACTGAACGACTGAGCAAAAGCTTTCTCCCTCATATAAATTCCTCCATGTCACACTGGGACGGTCAACTCGTTGCCTTCCATTCAGGTTGAACTCGATGACCTGTCTGGTGAGTGATATCGCCCAATTGCCTTCTCAGCCTATGTGAAATCTTCCTCCATTTCTTTGTGTATATGTTTGAGCCGCAAGTTGTTGAGTGGTTGACTGCCTTGTAGAGTCCCATGTTGTTTATCATGGCCATCTGATCTTCATTATTGAGGCAATTGAAAGGGTATGTGCTGATGGTGTTCTCATGCGAGTTGCTGTAAATGCCTTTTGAGACCCGTGTGTGAAGCCTTTGGACCATATAGATGCACTGATGTGAAATAAGTGTTGTGAGTTCCGTGTCCTGCTAATTTCAGACCAATGATACCTGTGCTGTCTTAGGCATTCTCATTCGTGTCGCCTTTAGTTGTAGCGATGCTGACCAGGTGAATGAAAAAGACGACTTTACTCATTTACCCCATTGATGATGGGGAAACAGGGGTATTCCACACTACTGTTGTATTATTTACCATAATTATCAAGTGTCTGTGTTGTTGTTTTATCGAAACGCATTATCTAATTCTTAGTGCTAAGCTGTTTGAATTTGGCCTCAATTCACATGACATGTATGATGATGAAAACAATTTTCAATGACATACCACGACGCAGGGCATTCGGATCATGACGCCTACAAGCTGTCCGGTCATAAGTTTTGGCCATTTCTATTTTCATGAAACAAGAAAGAAATTCACAATGAAAATATGATTGATCAAGAATGATATCAGTGAAGATGAATTGAAAAACTGGAATAAGGCAAGGTTCGATAAATGTGGCACTATTGAGTGTTGAAGACGTTAACACTGGTGGCTAATTAGTGCACATCTGAATGTATTTGAAGTAAACAATGAGAAAATCAGTCTCCATTTTCACTCATCTGCATTTCTAGTTGAAGATAAGGCAACAAGCTTTGAAGTTTCAGTAGCGATGGTATTGTTTTTGCATGCTGTGATCGCTAGCCTTAGGCAAAAGTTATCCTCTTTTCCGGACTCACTACTTGCTAGTAACCTAGGCAAGGAATACGCACACGTTGTCCAGGAACTGAAACTATGCCTCCAGCTGAGCAGATGAGCACTCTCTCATTGAACAACTGACACGATATAAGTAACTTGGTGTTGTTTTTGGTGGTAGTGCTGTTATTGTCTGTGCTCAACTCATTTAAAATAAAAACGATACGCTTTAGTCGTGAGAACGCAGCAATGTTTTCGATTAAGACTTACCTTAACAGAGAAACAACCAGGGAGAACCACTGTGCGACAGGGAGTAAAAGTGTCAACACAGTAGTTCACACTCACCTTCATATTTCTTTGTCTTATTCTGAAAGCACTGCTTCATTTCTGCTATGTCAGTGGGAATAAATCCTGCGAATTGTACAATGAAAGAGAAGATGTATACAAAATCTCAGATATCAGAGTTTCACCAAGAAGCTTTCAAATTCAAACTGTGCATATTAATTGCTACTAGTTAAGGCTGACTAAAACACAATGCAAGGCATTTCATTAAATACAGTCACACTACACTGTGATAATCATCAACAGTCATGAAATTCAGAATAAGGAGACCTTTGCTCTTAATCTTCGCCTAACAAGGTGGTTACATTTATGAGAGTGAAACGGAATGAGAGTGCATAGATAAAAACTTTACAGTACCAAAATTATTCTCTTCTCTCTCAAGAATTTCCACCAGATCTAATAAAGTTGAAAGAAACATTCATGATAATTAATTCAGCGTTACTGAAAATTAGAAATCCAGTCATTTTCTTTGAAGGCATTAAAGCTCATGTGAACATTGGAAATAAGTAATCGTTGTTACATGAAGAATTAAATGAAATCAGCTGTGTGTGTAGTCAAAGCTGTCAGCGGAAGCAACATCGTGAATGCCGACAAAATGTTTGTTTCACCTGTGTTGTTATTTGTAATAATTGAGTGGAAAAGTGATGATGAGTTTGAAATAAGGTTGTTTGCGTTCTTCTCCTTTCCAGGTAGAACATAGGACATCAGGCCATAAGCTTTGGAGTTCCAGTAGAGCTTCTGTTCCCTTGATAGGGTGCAGTGGCTAGACTCGCAGCCATCCGCTATTCTTTTCAGGGTGGGCATTCTACCTGGAAACCACTAACTCAGAAAATAGAACCACGTTCAACTCATCACTGTTCCTTACAGTTTGTTTTTCAACATTCCTTATTCTCATAGCTTTCTTCATTCGTGTATCATGAACTGAACAACAGACCAAAAGTGCTTTTTGAAGACTACACCATTTTCACAAATGATCATAAAAACAACATATAAGAAATACGCATACTTCTCATAAGTGTAACTCCAGTTTCCCCTTCCATATGTTTTCTTCTGCAAGAAATATCTACATATTCAAGTTTTAGTGTGATATAATTTGTGGATTATAACTAACATTTATCAATGGACAACCCATCAGGCGACAGCTTATTATTGATGTTTTCTGTAAACATTAAGAGAGAAAACACCAAATCAGTAATTGTTCTATAAATTGGTTTATCATTTTCGTTTGACAATATGCAAAGTTACAGAAATGGAGATGTTATCTGACTGATAATGACTAACCGTCGAATCCAGAATACTCATTTCCTCCCATTCGGTGCGTGTCAGATGTATGTGTTTGTATATTCCTGTGAATGAAGATGTTCTCATTGGGAGTTGAACCAAGGCAAGGAGTTATCCACTAGGCTACTGTTATAGAAAATGCTGGTTTCCAACTGACAAAACGCTCCTGAACCCAGATATTGTGATTGCTGATGCTAGTCTACATGATTTGTGTGCAGCCTCCATCAGAGATAAAAACCCGTGCCAGCTAACAAGAGAGAAGCTTGGAAAATGCATATTCTGGATTTCGGTGCTGACCATCATCAACCGAACAGCATTGTGTTAACCTTCAGATTTCGTCAGGGCATCAGTACTAGAAGTCGACATTTCAACAGAAACCGAACATTTAGGTCTGTTATAAATCAATCAGGGGAGGCATACAACCTAAATAAGTGAAAATGTTTTCATTATAATTGCTTCTTCGGGAACGGCTATAGTACAGGACCACTTTTATCAAGATCAGTTATAGTTTTCCCAGAGAATTATTCTTATCGCACGCAGTAGAACAAGAGATGGGTAAATAGATTTATGTGCCATTCATCACCTATGAAGAAGGCTGTCATTGAGCTGATCCAGTAAATTCGGATGTCTTCGATTAGACTGTCAGCTTTCAGAGAGGGAAGAAACAAATAAATGACCCGATATTCTTGTCATTTTATTCCTCTAGGAGCTTGAGTAGTTATCAAGAGATCTGAGTGTTATGCACCACAATCGTTCATGGGGCTCACAATCTGAGCTGGAAATGGCGACCTACATATGGAATATTTTCGAATGTTAATGTACAGTGATTTGACCTACTTGAAGCCTGAAGAAGTGATATCAGTTAGGAAACCAGGACAGAATGCTGTGAATTCGAAATTCTACCGATTTCTGGTGTTGAGTATCACTGGTAGTCTTTTCCAACGGCGAATATATTTGAAGTCAGAGTAGGAGATTCGGACACGGTATTCGAGTATAATTCCATACTACATAATTTTATTTGATATAATACACAGTGACAATAACTGAGTGACGTTTCAGGCACAGTTCATTGTCCATAATCATATCAACTTATTCACACGGCCTTATCATGTGCTTTACATAAATGTCTCTCCGTCCTGTTGTTGTTCCTTGAAATTTTCCATTTATCTGGTGTAGCAGTTGTGTCATTTCTATTCCTCCTATTTGGTATCGTTTCAATGAATAGAGGTTTGGTGAATAATCTCTCTTTCTCTCCTCATCTGAAAGTACTGGAGCGACACCAAACATTTTTGTAATAGAAATGACACAACAAGCTGATATACTGATGACCTATGAATTGTGTTCGAGACGAATATTCTACTGGACGGTCAACATGGTAGACCCAATTCGTTACAATTACTCACTAGAACACCAGCCAACTCCATCCTGCAGTCAACCACTCGTGACCATTAGAACAAATTTCAAATGTCGGTTTACTGGGACTGAATTGATTTCAAGTTAAATCGGAATGTTGACTTCAAGATTTTACAAAGGTGATTTTGCTAGGCATAAATATGTATACGGTAATGTGAACATTAGAAAAACTATAATTAGTGCAAGTTAGTAGTGTCAAATTATGCATCAAAATCAGGCGAAAGAATAACCATTGTAAATTACCTATGTGGTCCTGTATTACTTTCGTCAGATTCGCCAAATTTGCACTGTTCTGCACCAAATGTTCTACAGTATCAGATCAATATGGAGTTCATATGAAGTGGACTTTATATTTTCAAATAACGCATGCTTAATTCTAGTTCTTTTTTGTAGCATTCTCGATTGGTGACAAGTTGAATTTAGGTAATATCAGGCAGTTGTATTACTGCATAACCCAAATGATTACAAGCTAATCACGCTAATCACGTGATTCATGTTCGATTGCTTCCTTTACCGGTAGTAATCCCGGTAAGTAGAGTAGGCTGGGTGAGAGCCTAGCAATCTCATCACGTAAGAAATAACAATTCGCTATTGAGACTCCAGATCTCAGGCTTCAACCAAGATGATGAATAGCAAAAGGACCATAATTTCTATATATTTTTCCGCGCTACGCCTATTTGCAAAACTGTGAATACTATAAGTAGACAATCTTGAAAGGTTATTCATGATATATGTGAATATCTCTCTGATAGTTTATTTGAAATCTACCTGCATTCCCACGTAATTTATGTTGTATCCACGATATTTTGTATTCGATAGCATCTAAGTCCATAAGAAAAGACAAAGTTAGTATTTCTCACTTTCTGTAATAATACAACATAGGTAATTCAGAATACTCAGAATCATGATACATTTAGTGGTGACTTCAGCATGCAGATTAGGTTTTACAATAATTCTGAGATATGTGAGACGTCGACTGACGCTCACGCTTAGCAATTAGCTTTTTGCGAATCATAAATTGAAGGTGAATGGAGTATCTCTAACGCTAGGGTTTGACACAACCATCAAAGATCAATTCGATTTTGTCTCTTTGTTTTTTGAATAAAATATTGATCAGGTGGCTGCTGAAACAGTGTATGTGACCTCTGTATTTGACTGACATCAAAGTGAAGTTGTGATTAGTGGCCTTGATGTCCAGAATTTAAGTGAATGTTTCCGGGTTCGAATCTGATCTCACCTTCTTCGATTTGTACATCGGGGTATTAACGTCAGTCCTGGCTCACAAAATGGGGATCATGACTTGCCCCTTCAAATATCTGTTCTGTGAAGTGAGTTCTAACAGCAATGACAGTCATACGTAAACTAAATGATGAAATCTTCTGGATTTGAAATAACAGATGGTGACTATTGGGAACTAGTTAGCTGGATGTGACTGCGATCCCCAGTAGGTGGTTGTGTTCACACTGAAACTCGAACTTCACCCACTAGTTTCGCATATCCACTAGACCACTCGAGCCATGAAAGCCACCTTTTGCAAAACCGGGATAAGTTTTAATGTTCGTCTGACGCTTTGGCATTTGAAATAATGGGTACTCGGTGTAGTGGGAACAACACCACTCACTTGGGATTGTTCACGGGTCCCAAATCAGAGGAAACGCGCATACTGGATTCTGCTGCTAGTTGATATCCGCCAAATTACATCCTGTTAATACTGAAACATCATCAAAGCGTCTGTATTGTTAACCGTCATGTCAAGAGACACCTAAAGTTTCAGTCCAATCGATAAGTGGGATAAATAAAATTGACTTAATCAAAAACAATTTCTGAGCTTCGTTAGTTATATTCTGCGATGCTCATTTTGAATATAATACTTACATGACAGTAGCAAATGAAACTTAACAATTTATAGGATAATCTAATGACCAGTCAAATATCCTATACTTATTAAATTAAATGATATTGTACATTCAGTATGCAAATGATCATGAAACGTAAAATGAAACTCACTGTTTTGTGTTGATTGTTGAACATGAAGAAGAATGAAACTTGTGATGAACAGTAAGAAGTAACGCATGTTGTAGTTTGTTCTGTACAGATAAAAAATAAGTACACATTTGCATATATGTATATATGCTGATGACCAGAGCAGACAGCAATACACTCAGTAGTAGACACCTCATAGTATCAAATCAGATTTGAAATCACAAAAGCTGTTAGTCATTGTCCAACCAAATTCCAACTACTTGAATTATTTGTGCTGATTAGATGAAGTAAAATTGGCCGTCTTTTCTAAACAAAATTCCACTAGGTGAGACGATAACTCTCAGAAAAATAAATCAATACGACAGTGTCTAGTGCATAATTCAAGACGAACGTCCAGTTTGACGAGTTGGGTGAAGACATTTATCAGATTTTCATTTAACTATGCATTTATTCTTGTGTTGTCAAAATCCTGAAAGCAAAAGTAAAACTGACCGAAACCGTTTTTGATCTGATTGGGTTTTGTGAGCTCGTTTTTGATTACGATACTCTCAGTCTCCATCTATACAGCAACTTCAGCGGAAACATCAATATAAATAAATGTTTAGAGATGAACTACAGTTGAACAAGGTTGCACTAAACACTGCAAGTTTCTGCATCCAATATACAAAGAACATCAAATTTGACATAACGGCTTGCAAGATCATGGTGCTTTCTAATAAATACACTTTGCTCATCCAGTCAGCAATGTAGGCTATTCTGGCTTATACATCTTCTGGGAAGAGTTAACAACTTCGAAGTACATGGAGAATCTGAAGAGAGGCGTTAGTTTTTACAGTTTTCAAAATGAACTTCTGGTAATTTCTTTCTTTGAACGACATTTTAGGTTAACCCTGATCATAATCAACAGCCATTAGATTCAGGAAATAATCATGCAACACTGCCATGAATGTTAACAGTGATTGTTTGCTTCGGAAACAATTCGAAGCATATTTGCTGGTCACGGTATCATATTTCACCTCAAGGCCGACAATTCTTCGGAATAGTTGAAATCAATGATGAAAAATGTTGCGACAAAGTTGACAGCAGGGCAGGTAATGTGAACTTGTCTTAATCAATAAAAGTTATTGGCCAGTGTGAGAATCAAATTAAATAAGTCTGTGTTTAAAATTTCACCAATGAATGAAACAAACCAGATAGAATTCATCTATAGCAATGCACACAGCAGACAGTTGATATAGGCTTAACGAATGGCGCTTCGTATGGAAACACAGTTGAGGGGTGAATTTCAGAAGATCAATGCAACTTGCAGAAAAGAATACTATTGTTTTCGTTATGGTTTTCTTGCTTTCCAGGTGAAACACAAGGCCTCAGTAGTACACATTTATTATACTGTGAATTCTGAACTCCTGTTCGCATGGGTTAACGACTATTCGCAAGCTTTGAACTCCCTCTCACCGTCTCACACTCAAACACCGAACTCATGGATTCCTGTTTGGGTCCCGATGCTGCTGGCAAGTAATGTCACTTAAAGATCTCTTCAGAGTATGTTCAGCACATCTCCATTCACTTCTGTACATTTATTTATCGGACATAGGATTCATGGCTGGCTGGTTGCCAATAAACAGAGATGAAGAAATAGATTTGTACCCAGAGTGGTTTTCAGAGTGATTTATTCATGCTCGGAGTTCAAGTAATTTCGACACAGTCTGAGTGACTATGGTCCAGTCATCTGAATATCATTAGAAAATTATTGGAATACTTTTTCCAACAGACATAGTGAGCAAGATCGGACTGACTGAACTGACAAGATCAACTTTCCATGAGACTATGACAGTGATGGTGATTATCATGATGAGTATGATCAATACAATTTATGACATTTAACCAGTAACACAAATCAATGTGAAAAACACATCAAATCACTCATTATTCACAATTGCATTAGGACTTGTTCCATAAGATTACTTGATCTGCCTACATTTTAGCGACAAACGGCTACCTCAAGGATTCAACTTCGTTAAATTTATTATTACTGGGGGACACATCATCACTTGACGTCATTCAATCACATATTCGATTGTCGGTTTGAATCACATCAGCAGGTTTAGACTACCTGCTGTGTGTGTCTTCGAGATGCTGACAACTAATGACTTGACACACTATTAGTGACATGACGCAAACTCGTTGTCAGTGGTTGACATGCATTCACTCTCTATGAAGTCCTTTATCCATCACAACTTCGACAGACTTCAATTTTCTTCCGTTCCTAGTGGTTCGTCAAAGTCAATCTGGACATTCCTCTCTACATTTGTGGGCTACAAGAGTTTGGTAGCCACATAAACTAATACACGCCTATGCTAAGTCCAACATTTAAAACTTACTTGGTCATTAGGTGAATTCGAGCTGTTAACGGACAATTTCAAGCTATGTGACACACTCTCTTCATGCTGACACACTGATGGAAAGGTTGCAGATTGAAAGTGAAAGGTAGGTAGGTTGTACATTAACTAAAACATATCTTCGTGCCTTATTGAAGAGTGGTGAAGTCAAAAGCGTGAATCATTTTGTTGGAGTGATATTCATAGACAGAATTCGTATCATATGCAGTTATTCGTTTAACACAATAATTAGTTTCACTTATTGCAAACAAACGACTACAATGTTATCCCTGTATTTGTTGTGAAAATGTTCAGTTTGTCACTCAGCTTAAATGTGCTGAACCACGAACAGACAAAGATTGTAGGTGATGAGTCGGTGGATAAAGCCTGCGTACCCGACTGGTTAACAACCTCGCTTTATGACCTGAAAGTCTTGGCCTCGATCCCTAATTCGGTGGTGGGCGCCAACCGTCACTGACGACTCACAAACTAGGATGAGCCAGTTCTCCACTACTCCTGGCTGGTTTCCAATGCTTCTCTAACTGATATCAAACTCGTCATCACACGTCTAGCCTACATCCTGTTCCCTCAGTTGGTTACTCAACCCAACACTTTTGTAAACGAATGTCCGATTGATGTGTACTTAAAGATATGTTTAGTGTATTGCTGATTATCCATTGTCGAGAAAATTAAAAATCAATTTTCTGAGCCATACATGACGACATCTCTAGTATTCACTGTTATGCTAAACGCTAGATCACCCATTTCATCTACAAAATATGCTACAGGTAGAGCATATATCAGGCTCAGCATTTGAAATTGACAGTGAGAAGATCTGACTTATTTTTCTCTAATCTCCATTCTAAATAAGAAAATATCTACTATGACTCTGTGCATAGTTCCACGAAAAAATATGGCAAGAGAGCATGTGAGGAAACAGATGGAAGTACGACCAGCAAAAAGCGGAGTTCTATTAAGCTTGAATTCAAAGTGATTACATTCTAATTTTTAGGCTCTAGCAAGCACACCTACTAAATACTTCACAGCCTAATAAATGTAGCAGTACTCTACCCAGCGTGTTAGTACTGATGAACGAAATCCAAGTAAAAAACCTGAGACGGGAGGTGTGTCTGTGTCGGAGTTGTATTTTACACAAATGAAATAACAAATGTAGTAAATAAAGGTGTCATGCAACTTATCTGATGCCTCGACTAGTAGTAAGCCCGAAGAGTGCACTGAATGAAGACACAACAAGAGAGCAAACCTAGTATGTAGATGAGAGTCGCAAATCAGAAGATTAAGTGGTGCCAAAAGTGGGTGAATCTGTTGAAACAAAAGTTCAGATTTTCAAGGCACACTACAGTTTATTACATCCAAGGCTGGTGAGAACCCGGGAAGCTTCGTTACACGAAAGTAGTGAGAGTAGGGCTTTGTTCAATAACGTTGGAGGAACAAGGATGATTCAAGATACTAATAATAAATAATAATAATAATAATTGTGAAAGGAAAGATTTAACAGGTTGACGCAATTGCGAGGCACTATGCACATAGTTATTTGTGTAAGGTGAAATATAAGAATAAATTTCGCTAGTGCCTTAGTGCGATTGCAGGCTTCTAAGTTGTTTTGTTTTAGTTTTTTTCAACTCTTTGATACCTTTTGTTTTTGTTTTTTATTCATTTTTCTTTTTTTAAATATTTCTTTTAAATATTTTATTTATGGGTTTTGTTTACTCCGTACTGTTACGGGTTTACGTATGTGGAGGTCTTATGGTATACCTTTTTTGCCCAGGCTATCATAGTGGAAAGGTGACTCATTATCTCTTAGTTGTGTCTGAGAACAATGCACCACTCCTCCACTTCAACAGAAACTAGCAATCAATACTAAAGGCAACAAACATAATGCCGTATTAGAAGGGACAAGGTAAAAGTACCAGAGAAGAAGAATGGGAGAAAAGGTTAAGATTTCAAAATAGGGATGAGAATATTACAAAAGCCTGGGCTGAATAAATGCGAGGGAACTGGTTTAACATATTAGTAATACGTCAGATTGAAATAAAATGAAGGAAATTGTTAACACCACTAAAATTTATGAAAGTTTCAGAGAACAGTGTGAAAATAAACAATAACTTACGAGAGAAATTTTGTATCATTTCGTGTGAGAAAGGTAAATGGCATTTGATTCGAGAATTCAAGTATATTATGATAAACATCGTATGTAAACACCTTTTCACGAAATTAAGAAATACGTAGCGCACAATAGTTTTGTACTGATCCCATTATTACCATCCTGTCAGCTAAATATGCTACTTAGGCCATTTCAGGGCATAAAATGTTAAACATAGATTAAGTTATTTGGCGTTTGGAAAATACGTCATAGTATATACTCAGATTATTCTGACTACAAATTTCAAGAAATCTCAAATAATTTACCCATCAAAGAGTCAGCATTCTAATAATGTTGTCAAGACAACAAGTAACAGCTTTTTGTGCAGTAACGTGTTCGCTTAGAAACCTGGCGACATACTTTTCACTGCTTCTTAAACTGTCTCTAATTTGGCATACGTTGTTAGCACAAATAACTGCTGGGCTTAATTAAAGCTTTATATAATCAGCACACTTTCAGATATAATGTGGTTGATTAGATTTGTTTCTATTCTGATTAGTAGCCTACACTTTAAAGAGAATTTACTACTTAATTTCTTGTCAAGTGCAT